TCTCCCCTGTCCCTCATCCTCCTACACAGTAACACAGTAGCTGCTCCAGGTGTGAGCCTCAGATGAGAAGGTTTGACCACAACACCCCCCCCCCACTAACCTACTGGGAAGAGCCCAGGCTGGAAGAGCCCAGCGCTGCCATTTGCTGAGAGGCAAAGCCTGCGGACACGCCACCAACTGCCTGCCACATACCATGTCCCATGTTGGGACAGAAAGCAAGCAGCAGTGAGTTGGGGACAGTGTCCTGGCATTCATAACACCGGGGGTGGTATTAAGCCTTCCCTATGGGTGTGTAAAATGAAAGCAAGGTTTAAAGCGTGTGAAAGGCCGTGTGTGACAGGTCTGGCAAGAGCGACAGCCAGCCCTGTGCACTTGCACCCTTAGGTTCTGCATTTAAGAATCAGGCCGACCACAGGTGAAAACACTGAAGCATTATTACTCCTCTGCTGCCAACACATGCTCCGAAGGCAGGCCTGTGGTGGCCGCATCTACGCTAACGTCACCCCCCCCTTTTAAAAATGTTTATAGTGTGGGGGTGGGGGTGCACTTGTGTGGAAGTCAGAGTCCAATCTGCAGGAGTCAGTTTGCTCCTCTCAACACGTAAGCTCCAGGAATCGAACTCAGGTCGTCAGGCTTGATGACAAGCACCCTTGTCTACTGAGCCATTCCACAGACTTTTTTCCTTTTCATGATTCCTCAAGCAAAGCAGCTATTTGCATCGCATCTACATCTATTTTATAACGAATCTAGAGGTGACGATTTGAAATAGAAGGGAGGAGCTCAAGAGGTGACTCAGTGGTTAAGAGCACTTGTGCAATGGCCAAGAACAAAAACACTGACGACAACTTATGCTGGAGAGGATGTGGGGTAAGGGGAACACTCCTCTATTGCTGGTGGGAGTGCGTTTCTCAGAAAATTAGGAAACAATCTACCTCAAGACCCAGTAATACTGCTGTTGGGTATATACCCAAACGATGCTCAATCATACCACGAAGACATTTGCTCAACTATGTTCATAGCAGCATTGTTTGTCATAACCAAAACCTGGAAACAACCTACATACCCCTCAACCGAAGAAATGATAAAGAAAATGTGGTACATTTACACAATGGAGTTCTATACAACAGAAAAAAAAATGACATCTTGAAATTTGCAGACAAATGGATGGATCTAGAAAAAAAACATATTGAGTGAGGTAACCCAGACCCAGAAAAGATAAATATAATATGTACTCACTCTAAGTGGCTTCTAGACATAAAGCAAAGAAAAACCAACCTACAGTCCACAACCCCAGACACCCTAGACAACAAAGAGGACCCTAAGAGAAACATACATGGATCTACATAGGAAGGAGAAAAGACAAGATCTCCTAAGTAAATTGGGAACATGGAGGTGACAGGAAAGGGTAGAAGGGGAGGTGGAGGAAGAAAGGGGAGCAGAGAAAAATGTATAGCTCAATAAAAACAATAAAGAGAGAGCACTTGCTGCTCTTGCAGAGGACCCAGGCTCAATTCCCAGCACCCACCGGGTAACTATTGAAGAAATAAGTATGCCAATACTCAAACACTCAATGTAATATAACATGTATCCAAACACCATGGTTGGAGAGAAGGCTGGGTGGGTTAAGGGCGCTTGTTGGTCTTGCAGAGGACCTGGGTTTGATTCATAGCACCCATACGATGGCTCAAAACCATCCATAACTCCAGTTTTAGGGGATCCAACCCTCTCTTCTGACTGCTACAAGCACCAAGCACACACATGGTGCACACACATACACACAGGCAAAACACTCACACATAAAATAAAATTGAAAAATCTAATAAAAAATTTAAATATTATATAGTACTCCACTAATATATTCAACCTTGTGCCTTTATATATTAGTTGAAATAAGCTAAAAGTGAGTAAACTGTGGTCAGCAGTTAAGAGCCACCGGCTGCTCTTTCTTGCAGGATACCCGGGTTCAATTCCCAACACTCACGTGGTCGATCGCAGGCATCTGTAACTCCAGTCCCAGGGGAATCTGACCCCCTCTTCTGGCCTCTGCAGCATCAGGCATGTACACAGTGCACATACACACTTGCAGGCAAAATACATGTTTAAAGAGAAAATAAAGGTCTGAAGAGGATATCTGTAGGTTCTCTGCAGCTATTGTCATTTTATACGAGCACCATGGATATTTCACGGACACCGAGGGATGACCTTGCAGCCTCAGAGGGCTGGAGGACAGAGGACCTAAAGAGACTTTAGTTTCATCTGTTGTGTGTTTGTAGCTAAGATGAATACCTGTTTTACCTGTGCTATCAAAAATATCTTAAAATCCAAAGTCTTTACTATATCTTGCCTACGCAGTGAGGCCCACTCTGATTTCTTTATTGGTGCTGGGGAGGAGCCCCAAGCCTGAGCAAGGGTTTCATAGCCAACCACACTGCAGCCTTCGCTGAGGCTAGCCTCCGCCTCCTCACTTCCACCCACCAGCTGCAGCCTTCGCTGAGGCTAGCCTCCGCCTCCACACTCCCACCCACCAGCTGCATCTCTGGCTCCCACAGTTTGGTTCCTGGTGGTGACGCTTTGTCCCTGTCCTCAGATCAGGGGACAGAAAACTCCAGCCTGTGAGGCAGATCCAACCTATAGCCTCTTTTAACCCAGCTCCAGAGCTAAAGATAATTTACCATGCTTTAATGTTAGAGAAATCAAAAGGAAGGCAAAGATTTATGACAGCTGAAAATTAGATCGCATCCCAGCTACTGCATCCGCAGATCATGTCCCTGGCCCCTAGCCATGGATACTTGTTTACATCCTGTCTCGGGCTGCTTTCTGCCGTGGAGGCAGAACTGAATGGCTATGTAACTATGTGACTGGCTCAGAATATCTGGTTCCTTGCAGACAAAGCCCCCTGCCCCTTAGGTCTGGACGTGGGAGTGGAGGGGGCCACTTCCCTTTTGTATTCCCAGTCCCGAGAACACTGCCAGCACACAGTAGGTGCTTAGCAAACCTACCTGAATTAATGGAGGTGCGTGCAGAACCTGCTGCTTCGGTCTCCTAAAGAGTGTGGGCAATGACGTACACCACCACCACTACCATATTCTCCAATTCTACCAGTCTCCTTGAGCACAGGGAACGGTTCCCTGGGGGTGTCAGCTACTCCAAGGAGGAGATGATGACGCGGTGGCAAGACTTGCCTGAACTTGGCACCAGCACAGTGGACCTCTGTGTCTCTGGGATAGTGGCCTATCTGGCTTACCTGGCTTGTTCGAAGGGATTGCCTGCTGTTGGCCAGGGTTGACGGGCTATGCTGTGTGGTTTGCTGCTCTCTGGTGGTCACTTGGAGAGGTTGTCACCAAAGAACACATGATTTCGTTTTCCTAGGACACCTTCCTTCAATCCCCAAAACGCAGGGACTTGTCAGCCGGGGCTCTGTCCCTCGCAGGTCCCCACTCACATCCTCCCTGGGGGAATCAGGAGTCAGAGGGAGTCCTCTGGCTAACCTGAGATCCTAGCTCCCTTTCCTAGGGCGCTGGAGGACACCACACTTGGCACTCGTGTGTACTCCATCCTGACAGAGCTGGAAGGCGTCCTTGCTCCCTACTGACCGGGGACCCACCTAGAGGGATGCATGATGGGAGCCTTGTCTGCTCCCTTGTGTTTTAGGCATAACTGCAAAGGCCCCTCTGATGGTGAGGACCGCTTGGTACAGGAACTGCTCCACGAACTGTCGTGGGAATGGGAAGTGGGTCCCTAATCAACCCCAAAGTGCACTGAGAAGTGGTTTATGGTTTGGATCTGAAATACCCTCCCAAAGGCTCATGCATTTGAAGGCTCGGTTCTTATACAGCAGTGTCTAGAGGCAAGACCTTTGGGAAGTGACAAGCTCATGAGGACTCTGGCTTCACTAACCCACTGGTGGCTTCTTAACTTGAAGAGAGGTGATAAGAAGAGGGACTAGCCGGAGAGAGTGGTTTGGCACACGTCCCTGGGAGTTATGCCTTGTCCCAGGCCTCTCCCCTTGGGCTTTCTGGCTTCCCTGAGTCAAGCAGTTCTTCCACAATGCCCTCCCTAGCACTAACCCTAATCTTAACCACAGGCCCACAGGAAGGAACCACGCAACGATGGACCAGATCCTCTGAAACTGTGAGCCAAAAGAAACCACTCTTCTTTGATTTTTCTGAGGCATCTTGTCAGAGCAAGAAGCTGACTCAGTGATAACCACGTGCTTCTCAGCGCACCTCGCACCACCAGTGACTGCTCCTTGCCTGCCTCTGCTGCGGAAACCCCAGTCTCTGGCTGGGGCCTCCTGTGTGAGCGATGGCTGCAGAGTCTGTGATCAGCAGTGTGGGGTGTGGAAGGACAGGTAGGCAGAGTGGCTGGTCAGCATGGATGAATGGATGGAGACCTCTGGAAAACTCCGGGTCTGGTCTACATCATCTCATCAACTTGGGTTCTAGACCCTGGCACCTCCACCCCCTGTGCCCAAGCTCTCTGCCCTTTACACATTGTTGCTGCCAGCCCAGCTCCCTCACACCAACCCCATCACGGCCTTGGAGGCCTTACAGAAGCTGTCGCCAAAACTTAGATGGCTGTTCCCCAGAGATGGCACCCTTCCCGAGCCTCCACCCAGGCTCCCAGCTGTCACTCACCCTCATTGCACACATTACCAACAAAATGCCTGCCTCCTCACCATCTGTCCCCCCGTGAGGAGGCAGCACTGGGCAGGGACTTTGCCCTTTCTCCCTCCTGCGTCACTAGTACCTAAGTAGATTTGGATGTCACCTTTGGGGAAGAAGGATAACTTTACACCCTTCATTGGTTGCTAAGAAGACACATGCAATGCCAAGCTGCAGCACAAGGGGGTGGGAGGCTCTGTGCCTCCTGCGCCCCCAGGCAGCCTCCCTCCCCTCTGAGTCTGCTTCCTCATCAGAAAAAAGAAATTGCAATCCACAAGGGAGATGCGAGCCTTGCGGGAGAAATGAAACCATCTGAAATGAGAAAATCGATGCTTTCGGAGCTGTATTTATTGCAGTGTACATACGACCACAGCCAGGGCCACTAGGAGCTCTGTGCAGCCTATGCCAGGGCTCAAAGCTACCAGGTGCACACCGCCTGGTCACCCCACATGGCTGCAGCTCCCAGCACCCCACATGGCTCCGTCGTCACGAGTGATGCTAACACAGGAGCTGAAGCTGGGCCCCAGGCTCTCGGTGCTGCCTGCAGGTCTGAGTTAAAATCTGGCTGTCTTACAAGAGCCTACAGACGTCCGGCTTCTCTGAGATTTCCGCTGCCAGTCCCACATTCCCACACCATAGCAGCAGCTACAATGGAGCAGCAGTTGGCTCCTGTGGGTGAGGGCCTGTCTCGACACAGTTCCCACTGACACAGTTCCCACTGTACCCCCCTGCACTCCCGAGCAGACCATCATCATCACCTGGCTTGCACACAGATAGTTCGTCATCACAGAAACTGTTTTTCTGCCTGGTCTCCAGCACTGATCAAAGTCAAGGCAAAGCAGGTCCCACTACTCTATCCCACTTGTTTAACTTGGACACCAGAGCTGTGACCTTTGGACCAGCCCATCCCTCCTTTTGTCCAGCACAGGGAAAAGGCAGAGAAGGGTCGCTTCACACGCGCTATCCCTTTAGGCTTATACTGCCTACGGCTGAGCTGGTTTGCTTCTAGTTTGCAAGCCTGGGTAGGTACTGAGGCGAAGGTGTAAAGGAAAGCCAGCGGCAGAAACTGTGGTGTTGAGGTGCCCTCTAGTGGCCTCAAGGCACCACTGCAGGCCATGGAGAGGGTCACCCTCACAGATACTCCCACTGGCCCTTGCTCCCATAGCTCAGCCACTCTCCTGGACATTCTGACGCCCGCCTCGGTGCCCAGCACATCTACAGTCCACCAGGCTACACCCTCTTAGGAGTGATCTCCAGCACCCCATTCTTCAGATCTTTATGCCTTTCTTGAGGCTGAAAGAGAAGCCCTGAGGTGTTCACCAGGTTGGAAAGGTCAACTCTCGGGTGCTGGGGCCAGATACCCGAGGTGAGGTGTCTGTCTCCATGTCCTGATGCAGATGACACAGACACTGAGAAGCTGGTGTGGCCACACAGCCATTCTTCGGGAGAAGCAGGGGATGCAGTCTTTAAGGCAACACACCCATTGAAAAGGCTATCTCGGGTGCATAAGTCACCCAGACCTAGGAGACCTGGCTAGGCGGTTGGGTTCAGGCCAGGGCCCTCCCTGGAGAGCTCTGAGGCTGTGCTGCCAACAGACCCTTCGGAGATGGTGAGGATAAGCCACTGTTTTTCCAAGTGCTGTTTATTGAGTAGTTTGTAGCCATCACCATGGGTGCTCCTGAGAGGCAAGGGAGAGAGAAAATTCTTGGACTCCTTCAAGAGGCCTGGACACTGAAACCAAGGCGTGCGTCTGGCGGGGCTCAAGATCACAGTAAGAAGAGGCTGGAAACAGCAGACTCCTAAACCCATCCCACAACTACACAGATACATCACACAGGAGACCAGTGTGAGTTCCCTACCCACCTGGCTACATCTTCCCATAGAGCCCTGGAAGTGGGGTGCTGACTCCAGGTGCACTCCTGAGTGTGCACACCCACACACATGAACACACCCCTCACACAGCTCTGTGGCCAACAGTCCGGTGGCTCCCCCAGCGGGCAACGCGCACCTGCTCACAAAGCCTCGGGACTCAGATCATAACAGACGCCCCGCAGGCCTGCCATTTGAGCGAAGCCGCACATCCTAGCGGCCCCCGCCAGAGGCCCATTAAACTGGGCGCGTGGCCATCACCCCTGGCAGCCTCACCAGTTGGCCTTCACTGCCTTGATGTCACTCACGAGGTTCTGGGCCAAGCAGATGCCAAATATCTGTAAGACAAACAGCAGGTAAGGGAGAGCGGAAGGCCTTATGAGAGAGGAGGGTAAGCGAGCCAAGGGCGTACCTGCAGGAGGGCGATGCCCACCAAGACCCCAGCCACCACAATCAAGTTGTCCTGCAGCCACTTCTCGAACTGGCCCACACAGCCTTTGGTGTAGATGGAGCCCTGTTGCTCAAGCTCCTGCAGAAACACAGGACCGGGCTCAGCCTGCCTGCTGCTGTGAGCCTTGGCTCCCATCTATTCCTCTTCCCAAGCCCGCCCCCACTCCAGTGTCCTCCCTGACAATGTCTGTTTCCTGGAACTCCACCACAGGGCCTAGAATCTTAGCCTGCCTCTGGTCTGAAGAGGCTTTCCCTGAGCACACAGACCTCCTCATCAGCCCCCGAGCTTGCGTGACTGCCACGTCTAACATTTACTGTCTTTCTCCCTCCTTCCCTTGAGTACAGAGACCATGCATGAGCACTGGGTCACCAAGGTCTAGAGCAATGCCAACCACAGCAGGTGCTCCACAGAGATGGGTGAGCATCCAAGACCTCAGACCCATCTGGGGCCAGTTCCACCCCATAGAAGCCCTAAGATCTACCAAGGGAGCTTATGAGAGGCCCCAAGCCACCCGTGTATCCCAGGTACCCTCAACCCTGTCCCCGCCTCTCTCACCAGTTTGAGTCGGATGTCATAGCCACACTGGGTATTGAGGACATCTTCCTGAGGGGGAGACGGACCGTTAGTATGCTAAGGGAACTGCCATGGTCTCCCTGGGTCCTGAACTACGACACTCCTCCTCCACAGAAAAGCAAACAGAAGCTTGGGTCTTGTCATGCCCATTCATCTGCAGCAAAACTCCACACTTCTCAACTCTCGTGGACACCAGTGCACACTGACACACACCTCCCACGGCTTCGGGAGCCTGCCTCCTCCCAGGGCCCCACTCACCGCAGGGTCCCTAACACAGCAGGAGAAGGGCACCCCACAGCGCTCACGGCTTGGGTTCGAGTCAGTGCAGTTGAAGTAGATATTGAGGTTCCAGTCATTGGGCCCTCGGGCACCACAGCAAGACCACTAGGAAGACAGGAGAGTCTGCTATCCAGGGGCACACACCGGTGACCAGGCCTAACCCCAGAGCCTCACCCTTCCCATCTGGGGCAAACCCAAAGCCAACAGACCAGAGTCCACAAGACTTGGAGTAGGTTGGTGACTCTGAAAGGTGGGACACAGCATGAAGGCTGTGGCTTCCTCATGAGGGGCAGAAGCAAGAGCAAGTCCTGAGGGGACAAAGGTACTATAGACCCTCGTGTCTACACTGGGAAGACTACAGACCCTCGTGTCTACACTGGGAGGTACTATAGACCCTCGTGTCTACACTGGGAAGCACTATAGACCCTTGTGTCTACACCGGGAGGCACTATAGACCCTTGTGTCTACACACTGAATCCCTCCACACTTGCCTCAGGAATTTTGCAACCCTACACTGCAGGGACAGGAGAGGAACCCAGCCAGCTTTTCCATCCCAACCCACTCCACAAATGCCTGCTGGTCTCATGCTAGAGACACACATCCCTCCCCAGGATATCCTTGCTAACCTTCCCAGATGTGGCCATGGCCACCACAGGCCTGCAGCACGTAACAATGCAGCCCTAAGTAAACGGTTCCAACTGCTGAGAAGCTGGCTGTGAGGGCCGGGAAGGCTCCAGGATGAGCAAGAGCCGGCCTAGTGACAGACACAGGCTCCCATGACGCCTGCCATGTGGCTGTGTGTGCAGCTCTCAGACACAGCCGAGCCAGCACCTGTCCATCACCTGCTAAGTGCCTGCTGTCCCTGCTGCGGAACAGTCTTGTCCTTCACACCACCCAGCGACTCCTTCCCCTCTCCCTCCCCTCTTCCCTGCCCTGCCCCCATAGCCCTGTTCTTCTGTATGTTCACCACCACCTCCCCCACCACACTGCCATCATGAAGGGAACAGGCTGCACATTTTAAAAACCCTGAATCTCCCCGCACCTGGCTCAGGGCCTGTCCCAGTTCCATACTGAATAGAGAAAAGAAAGAACACGGGAACTTCGGGCTACATGACTGCTTCTGCCCTTGGGCAGCTCCAAGGTACTGCTGAGTCCCAGAACCAAATCTTATGAAGGTGACTGGGTGTGACAGGGTGCACCCTAAGGAACTGTGAGGACTCGGATGTACGAACTCGTCATTACAGAGAGTGCACAGCACCGGGTGAGCAGAGGCAGCTATGCTCCAGCTGGAGAGACAGATCAGTGGTTAGAGAACTGGCTGTTCTTCCCCAGGACACAGGTTCAATTCCCAGCACAGTGACTCACCAACTGTAACTCTAGTTCCAAGGATCTAATGCCATCTCCCAGCCTCTACAGGTATCACACACACACGGTGCACATACATGTACATATATGTACATACACAGAAAAATAATAAAACTGAAAAAAGAAACTAAGCCATTATGTTGCTAGATTTGCTCTGATGTCTGCACAAGGACAAAACCATCCAGCAATGCATTTCTTAGAGTCCCTGTCACCAAACCTAAGTGGCTACACTGGAAGTGAAAGGGGGCTGGCAGGTGTATGTCGTGCAAACTCTGAGGCTCAGTAATGGGCACCAGCAACACAGCCTCCGTAGATAGTCTGGGCCCAGACTGAGAAGAAAGAGACCTGCCCTGTATGTTCCTCCTCTGGCCGCAGTTTCATGCTCCTGTGTCCCTAAAGGGCTAGGCACAAGGAAGCCTGGGGATTAAGCAGGAGCTGGCTTCTCCTGGGACAGGGGCTCTCTAGGTTCCTTCCCTGGCATCTGCTGGCCTGAGTAGCTGAGGAAGTCGTCCGTGCACGCAGAGAATTTGCTCCCTCTCTTGTGTGCCCATCAGGGACTGCTTGCACAGGACCCAGGATGGAAATCACACTCACATATTCCTGAGCAAAGTCGATAAGGTTCTGAAGGTCAATATCGTCCCGGTAGGCTTTGACATTGCTGTTGATGAAGAGATTGAGTTGGTCTCGAATCCAGTCCTTGAAGACAAAGGCCAGGATCCCTGTCGCCAGCTCCAGGAAGAAGATGAGGCCGAGGAACACAGAGAACTGGGTTGGGGACATACAAATGGTAGGCATTGGAGAGGCAGGACTCCGGGGACTCCACAGGCAAGAGCTCCCCACTTGCTTTGCTAGACCTAAGGGAGCCACTGTCTCCAGTCTCTACCCACTATTATTCGGGTGCTGTCTCCTCCCAGTCCTGCAGCAGGGAACCCAGAGAGAGCCCTGTGTGTGCTAGGCAAGTGCTCTATCACCGAGCTTGCTCCCTCCCTTTATAAATACTGTTTTGTATCGACAAAAGGCAGCGTGGTTTTCCCTGTGCCTTGTCTGGCCACCACACCTAGGAGAGAACTGAATGGAAAGAGCTCAGGGGGCCCCAGTGTTGGCTGGGGTGGAGAGACACTTACGAACTGAAGCAGGAAGGTGTTTTCCCGGAGGGCCCCAATACAGCCAGCGAAGCCCAGCACCGACATGACACCCCCAACCACCACAAACAGCCACACGGGGTCAAGGCCACCTAGATCTGTCAGCGCTGAGATGTTGGAGAGAACGCCCTGCAGTGGGGGAGTGGACCAGTGAGGGAGTGACTCTCCTCTCAGCTTGCCCCTAGGTCCCACTCTCTTACCTTCTCGCCCCAGGCCCAGAGGCCGATGGCCAGGAACAGGGCTCCCAGCACCTGCAAAAGCAGCCAGAGGTCAGAGCTGGACACCAGACCAGGACTGACTCTCCCTTACACGCCCTCCTGTGAATGGGACTTGGTGGTGCATCTACCCAGGATACCTTCAGAGAGTCTTTTCCATAGGCTAGTTAGAGGAACTGAAGCCACCACCCCAATCCTCAGACTGGACTTCAGCCCCTTCCTGGACTCTCCACATAGAGTAGAATTCCGCTGAGAGGTCCCCCTGGCTCAGAAAGCATCTGGTCCCAGATATACTTGTGTCTTTGTTTTGGTTTTTTTTTTTTTTTCTTTTTTTGAGAAAGGGGCTCAATGTAGTCAAGATTGGCCTCCAATTCACGATGTAGCTGAAGATGACCCCAGGATCTTAGCCTTTTCTGGATGTTCTATCCAGAACCTTCTCTCTGTCTCATGCCTCCTTGACACTCAAACCCCAGTTGAAGCCCACCACTCTCTCCAGCCACCTGGATATCTGTTTATCTGTTTAATGTTTCCTCTCTATAGGGATCAGCCACATGGGGCCAAGAGCTCACAGGGCCAACAGCTGCCTGGGACCCCGATATATCTAAAACAGGAGGGGAGATGTGAGGATGGAGCCAGGGGAATGCCAGTGTCCCAACAGGCTGAAATGACTATGGAGAGGAAGGAAAACAGGAGGTTAAGGCTGGACCGTGGTGTGAAGGGCAAAATAGGGCAGATGGAGACCAAGCAGGAGGCTGGGAAAGTTAGAAAAAGAGCAAGAGGAGGAATGGGGTTGGTTTGAACAAGGAGATGTTTGGCGGAAACAAAACGTTAAACTGGTCTCTTGTCCAAAGATGAGATAAATCAGATGGGGGGGGGGGGCAGAGAAGTGACGTTGGAAGGCATTTCCAGGGAGAATCCAGCAGTGGATAGAACCCAGGACCAGGCAAGGAAAGGGTGGACAGAGGTGGAGACTGGATAGTCTCACTCTACTCTAATGGTGTGTCCTCCTCAAAGACTGCGTGTCCAGGGAGTGGCCCAGGGTCAGGGGTGAGAGGTAGCTGGCCTTGGCAGTCACGGCTCTCCAAGCCAGGAACTGAAGCAAGATGATGAGAAGATTGAGGTGATGAAGGGAACACAGGCTGCCCAGATGAAGAACCTGTAGCCGGTGTTCCGATGGCATAGGTGGAGCCGGAAGAGTGGTAGAGACCTCTAATCCCCACACTTGGGAGACGGGACATCAGGAATTCAAGGGTCCAGACCCCTCCCCATATCCAGGTCCTCCGTCACCCTTCCATATACCCACAGTCAGCTAGATCTGACCTAGTTCTGCTCTGAAGCTCCACACTGCCCAAGCACAGGACCTCAGTGTTCTGCCCACCTCCACTCCCCTGCCCAGACCTCAGAACAAAGCCAGGACCATCATATTTGCCAAACAACAGAAACACACTCAGGTGCCTCTCCAGTCACTCAGCAAATGACTTAACCTCTTGGCGCTAGTCATTCAGCCCCCCCCCCCCCGTAAACTACAGATAATAATAAGGTAGTGGGGAGACTGTGCCTCATTAGAACTTCAACATGAAACTCGCTATGATGGCTCACACCATAAATCCCAGCATTCAGGAAGCTCACAAGGGAAAACTGCAGCAAATTCCGGGCCAGGACGGGCTTTTGTTGTTGACGTTCCAACAACAAAAACCATTATTTAACAACCAAGAAAGACAAACTCCAATGCCACTCACTCCCAGGTTGGAAAGCGGAGGCCCAGGGAGTAAAGGTGGCTTGCCCCAAGGCCTCCGGGCAAGGCCTGTTACACTCAGGCCCTCTGACTTCCAGGGCAGTGTTTCCCGCAGCTGCCCAAACCCTCCAGAGCAGAAGGCTGCTGTGATCCAAGGCACCCACCACAGGGCAAAACCGGCAGCACGTGGGTGGAAAGAGTCCTTGAATCCTGCTGGAAACAAGTTGGAAAGGCCTGGCGAGGAGAGCACGCAGAGCCCGCTTTGGCAATAGGAGGGGGAGGAAGAAAAGAAAGATGACTTGGCAGGGACCGGATACAGATGCCACCCAGGAAGGAAGCCTCTGTTCCCGCAGCAATGGAATGCTGAATTCTGTTCCCAAGGGACAGCTCCCTGCTCTCAACCAGAGCTACTGTCTGCAGTCCCAGAGGCCTTGCTTGGCTTTTGTCACTTCCTGCCCTCCTGGTTCACAAGCTCTTAGTCTGTGGAAATAGACTGGGAATAGGACCCAACCTCAGGAACCTCACACACCCTGCCGGTAGCTGGAGTGGCCAGGAGGCGGGGCGGGGCTCATCCAGCAACTACCGCGCCCCTGCAGTCTTCCGGCAAACGCCGCCCCCTTTTTCACCCAAACTTAGGGCTGCAACGCGAGACTCCCAAGCCCCCACCCCCCTGGGAGTGGGTCCCGCCCCTCAGTAATCCCAGTAGCTCCCAGAGAGTAGTATTTGGGGACTGGAAATCGGGGTGGAAGGGATCGGGATCAGTCCCCGGTCGCAAGCTCCTGAGAAGGGTCTCCCCCCCCCCCGCCCAGAAACTGAGGCTGCCTCGTCCCCCTCCCCAGCGCAGGGCGCGAAGCGGACCCCGCGCTCACCCAGAAGACAATGTTGAAGCCAAACAAGAAGTATTTCCCGCAGCAGCCGACTTCAGGGTCCTGGAAATGCTGGTGCTTGCCGGGCATGGTGAGTGCTGACCCGCCGCCCCGAGAACCGGAGCCGGGGATGGGCTCAGCCCTCTGCGGGCGGCCCAGACCTGGAGCCGCCCGGGCCTAGCCCGGCGGCTGCGGCTTCATGGCCAAGGCCACACAGAGAGCCGGCTGCCCCGCCCGCCTTGGCGCCGCCCCTGGCGCTGGGACCGCCACACCCGGAGTGCGGTGCCCTCATCCGACCCCGCCTCCCTACACAGCGTCCCGGTCCCGCCCACGGAGTCAGCCCACGCCCCTCCCCAGCGGGGCTGTCTTCACGGAGCTCCGCCCACGCCCCCGTCCCAGCCAGGGTGTGTCCTCCCGGAGCTCCGCCCACGCTCACGACTCCGCCCCCAGCCGAGCTTAAGTGATCCCTGACTCTGTCCATTCCCACCCGCCGTCCTCCAGAAGCCACGCCCACGCCACGCCCAAGACTGCCCCTAGCCAACCACTGATCGCCCCCCCACCAACTCGGGTTCTGCCTCTGACCTGCCCAGACTCCGCCCCCAACCGGCCTTGGGCCTTCTGATCTCCACCCTAGTCAGCCTCAGTTCTGAACCTTGCTTCTTCTTGGAGCCACGCCCCCCCATACTTCGTTCACCGCCCCCTCCACTCCATCCAGCCGGCCTCACCCCTCCAAGAACCTGTTTCTGGGCCATGCTCTGGCTACACCTCCAGCCAGACCAACCCCACCTCTGAGGAGCCCCCAACTCTCCATCTCCCTCCGACCTGCCATTGCAGCAATGGCCTCATTTCTCCAGAGGCTCGAGATGAGCCAACCGGCAGCCTTGGTGACCCAAGTGAGAAGACCCTGGGCCTCCAGTCGGAGGCTCAGAACCAGTGGCGTCCATCTCCAGGGATGAGCGGTTGGAGAGGGCGGCACCCGTGAATACTGCCGAGCATCTACACAGTGGATGGCGCCCCTGGGGTGCCTGCCGTGCCTGTTCCTATCATAGCTCCTTCCCACCCCAACTCGGGCTTTCTCTGGTTTCCTTGGTACGTGGGACTCACTGGAGTCCTGTTGAAGCAGGATGGGCCAGATCCATGGTTAGGGAACCCTGGATCCTAAATATTTAGATTCCACATTTATTCCAGTTTATTGAGAACAGATACAAAAGGTTCATTAGCCCCAAGTGGACCCCTTCTAAACCACGGAGAGGCCCAAACACCACCAGTAGTTTCTTCACGGTGTTAGGGTTTATCACTCCTCCACTTCAGCCTTGCCCTCGGGCAGGAGACACACAACCCACTGCACTCTTATCCCATCGTGAGAGAACTGGGAGGCTTTCTCAGTTCCCAGAGCCTGCCTGTCTTCACAAATGCCAGTGTTTGCCCTCTAACCTACTCCAGTAGTGGGGGTACAGCGGGTAGGAAGGGCAGCCGATGCGAGGACCAAGTCACGACTGGTGTAGGGAAAGGACAGGGTTTAGGATGGGCACCCAAACTGCAAAGCAATGCTCACCAAAAAACCTGAACTACTTTTAACAACAGTGGCCGAGAGCCTTTTTCCAAGACAGAAGAGCCTGCCTCAGCTCACCCAGTCCCTTTTCCTGACAGGCACAGAGAAGTGTTGGCCACAGGATTCTCCTGTCCTCATTTGACGGGGTAGAGCCAGGACTTGGCTTCACCCTGCCTTTGCCAAATGGCCACACAGAGAGCTAGGGGTCAAGTGTGGTTTATAAACACTGGCCAGCTGCCACAGGCCTGGGCCTAACAAATGGGGAAGGAGTCTTTCATGAACCCAGACACAATGGGGAGCTCAGCTCCTGTAACCCCGGTTATTAAGGCTGGAGCGGAAGGATGTCATAAGCCCATAAATAGGAGGCTAACCTGGGCAACATAGTGAGAGCTTATCTAAGGGGTGGGGGTGCATATGTGTATTCCGAGACAGGTAAAGAGCCAAGCTGTCTGCCCCGCTATCCACAGGGCACACTTCCCTGTGCACCAAACTGCAGGAGGAGGGTGTCCCAGGACCGGTGACTGAGGTCGGTGTCACACCACAAACTTGTTCTTGGCTAAAGAATTGCTCTTGGCAGCAGTGTCTGCATGGGCCTGGTACCCGATGATGGTCTTCGTAGAGAGGCCCAGACGCTCTTTGTATATGTGACTGGAGGGGGAGATGGGAAAGACGGCCGACATCATCTAGGCCAAGCTATCTTGTTCAGCGACCACCCTGGTTCCAGCCACAGCCTCGCCTACTCATAAAGACCAGCCACCCACAGAACCCTTCAGTGACAATGAAGGCTTTAGTTAAAATGGTTTGGATCTACACTCCTAGTACAGAGGGTTCCAGAGGTCTCCCTTGCAGGCCAAGCCACCAACCATCCCGGCTCCAGAACCCATGCAGACAGGGCTCTCTCTCACCCAATATGCATGACTCCTGCTTGGTTCTCTGCCTCGCTTGTCCACACAGCAATCTTGTCCCCCTTGGTGCGGATGTTGACAACGGCTCCACACACCTCCTGGCTGAATTCCTCGAAACTCTCCCCCAGCAGACACAGCAACTGGGCCCAGAGGGGGAATGGTAAGGGTCCACCCTACCAGCTTTGAGACCACTTCCCCCTGGAGGCCCACACCGGCAACCCTTTCCACCACTCACTGTCTCCAACCACAGACGGTCCAGTTCCGTGTGGCGCTGTTGTCTAGCAAGACTGAGCAGCCAGCGGCCACCCCGCTTGTTCCTGTAGTCTTCCCACATGGGCTGGATGCCATCCTGTGAGGAATGGCAGATCAACTGCCTCTTTTTGTTTTAAGGGAAGTGGGCACCAAACTCTCTTGGCATATAGCCTTGTCTGCTCTGTACCCAGGCCTTAACTAGGCCTGCTTCTCTTACCTACATACCGTCTGCACAAGCAGGTGCTGTTACCAATCACTCAGCCTCCCACACAGGCCCCTTCCAAAACCCCACAAGCCGCTGAGCCTCACTGTTGCCACCTTTTGTAACCTTCTCTGTGCGCTTGTCACCTTTACTGAACAGGGTGCCTCTGGGTCAGAATTTCTGTAGACTAGGCTAAACATTCCAGGCTTGGCTCTGTGGTCCCTAGACCTTGCTGGGCAGAAGACACCCAGAGAAATCTCTAAATGCTGATGGTAGTGCCTCCAAGATGAGACTGGACTGGACATAAGGAATGCTCCCAGCCACACACACACACACAATGTTGATGTTCATGCTAGTTAGAAGCCAGGCCAATAGCCTCGACTCCATCCTCGAGACTCTCTTCCCTCCAGACTCGAGCATCTGCGCACGCCACCTTCATCCATGAAGGGAAAACCGTGGACTCTGTCCCCTGAGCAGAGCCTACCTTGAACAGAGCATAGTCACAGCCGGAAGAGAGCTTGCTGGCCAGCTTGATGTGTCTGTACGTCCTGGAAAGACCCCACACAGAGTTCAAGGCTTTGTAGCACGCGGTTCACCTGAGCCTGACTTTCCAGCTCCTCACCAGACCTAACTTCCCATCACCTGCTTCTTTCTTCCCAGGACCTCCCCACCCCCACACACACCACCAGGGCCCTGCTGCCTAGAATCCCTTCTCTGGGAACCTGACCCATCTGAGAAAGCCTGAGGAAGTCCACCCTAGTAGGGCGTTCTAGCTTGGCCTCCTTCTTGGGTTTGTGTGGCCTCCCTCCACTCTCTTCTCTGGCATATAAATTCTTAAGCATCAGCCTAATCCTTACCATGGCTGAGCCAGCTTTCCACACAGAAAGGAACCTGGTCAGGGCCCCAAAGCCACAGAGTAGCAGGGTTCTCTCCTGCTTCTCCCTGGCCTGAGGTTCCCCCTAAACCCCTAGACGCTTTGGGGCGGGTCATGGTCTGTCTAGAGCCTACCAACCCCCAGCTCCCAGCAAATGTTGACAGCCCCTGAAAAGGTGGCAGACTATGATTCCTCTGACTCCCAGCTTAGAGCCCCCCAGGGCACTCACGCCCAGAAGTCCTCCACAGTGTTAAACTTAGTGACTGGCTGCAGATTTTCCTGCCAGGGTCGGCTCCGGTCATTCCTGAAGAACCACAGAACCCATCTGGGGAATGAGGAGAGAGGAGAGTCAAGACCCCAGATGTCACCCCTGCAGTACCTGACTGGGTTAACAAGCTTGTAAGATAGGGGGTGAGACTTGGGACATAGTCCCCAAAGGTATGGGAAGTCAGTTATCCCTGCAGCCTGGATGAGAGGATATTTTAAAATCCACCAAGGGCTGGAGAGATGGCTCAGAGGTTAAGAGCACTGGTCGCTCTTCCAGAGGTCCTGAGTTCAATTCCCAGCACCCTCATGGTGGCTCACAACCATCTATAATGGAATCTGACGCCCTCTTCTGGTGTGCAGACTTACAGGAAGACAGAACACTCATATACATAAATTAAAAAATATTTTTTAAAAAAGCCCACTGCGTGGGAGGCAGGATCCAAGGGTCTCGGGCAGCTCAAGTGATACAGACGCTGGGGGTCTCTGTGGCCTCCCTACCTATAATGCAGGGGGTGCTTCTCTCTGTGGGCTTTCCTCCTCGGAGTCAGGAGTGCAGGAGGGTCTCCGGTGTCTTCTGCTGGGAGGACCTTCACCGCTGCTTCTGATGGCTTTTCTTTCTCCACCTCCTCTTTCCACTTGTGCTCCTCACCGTCAGCGCTCATTGTCTGACCAGAGAAAAGAACGGCAGTGAGCCAGAGCTGGGGAGCTGGGGCCGCACCCCTTTAATCCCAGCTCTCGGGAGACAGAGGCAGGTGGATCTCTGTGAGTTCGAGGCCAGCTTGGCCTACAGAGCAAGTTCCAGGACAGCCAGGGCGGGCTACACAGAGAAACCTTGTCTTTAAAAATTTAAAAAAAAAAAAATCCTTTTTTTTGGATCCATAAGCCCCGGTTCTGGCTGACCGACCCCTCTCCTCTACCTATGTTTTTTACCCCAGCTAGCCAGTGGGTCTGGGATAGGCAGGTAGGTAGACTCACAGCGTCGGGGGTAGCCATGGCAAAGCTCTACCAGCAGCTAAAAGGTCACAGGGCCTTGCTTTTAACCCAGCAGAGAGCCCAGTCCCACCTGGGCAGCCAGGTGGGCGGAGGAGCTTGTGGGGTGGGGGTGGGGTGGGATGGGATAGGGGTTGACCAGAATCCTTCTCTTAGAAGGTAAGTGCTCATCACTCTGCACAGCTGTGACAAGAAAAACCCATCCTCAGGCAGCAGGTGGGGACTCAGAGAATTGAGTCAGAGTCGATATTTGGGGTCTGCTCTTAGGGTATTTGGGACTTACTGAGCGAAAGCTGACTGTGAAGTAGGCTGTTGTACAGGTGACAGAGGTAGCAACTCTTCCATAGCACACCCCCCAAAACACACACACACACACCCTGGTTCCGTTTACACCTTCAGTTTGTGCCTTCACTATCATCCAGTGACATTTATCTGGCTCTAGAAGCAGCTGAGATTTTTGTAAAGCAGTAATCACTGAACGGGGTAGCACATGCCTGCAATCCTAGCATCTGGGTGGTAGAAGCAGGGTGGTCAGGAGTTCAAGGCCAGTTTCAAATACTGAGGGAGTCTGAGACCTGCCTGAGCTATAAGAAAGCCTGCCTCAACCAAACAGAAGAGTAGCCATTTGCTTATGTTTAGAGACTGGCAGACTTTTGTATTAAAAGCCACACTGCTGATTTGTCCTGAGTGGTTGGAGGGTTTGGTACCCTGAGGCGCTCCACTTTGTAGGGCCCCCATCCACTGTGTCCTCCTTGCCTCCTGCCGAGAACACTCACCTGGACATCCCTGGTGAGGCCCAGGGCCACAGTCATCCAGCAAGTGTTCAAGTCCTTCCCTGCACTGATCCGAATTACTGAAGCCATGGAGCCTCACCCCCCCATCCCCCACTTTGCAGATCAGGAGGTCAATACATGACTCAGAGCTTGCACGTGAGGCTCCAGAGAATGAGGCCTGGCTCACTGCTCAATTGATGTCAGGTGAAAGCTCTGCCTGGGCAGGGAGGGGACCAACTGAGGAGAGAGAAGAGACTAGAAGCTAAGCCTTCACAGAAGGGGCAGGGTGGAATGCTCGGCTGGAGGCTGACAATCTGTTGACAACCCACACCTATAACCACACCATGGTACTTGGGGCGCGAGGCTAGGAACACTGTTGACAACCCACACCTATAACCACACCACAGTATTTGGGGCACGAGGCTAGGAACACTGTTGACAACCCACACCTATAACCACACCACGGTACTTGGGGCGCGAGGCTAGGTCCTGGCACACAATAATGGGCACCAAATGGGTGGGTGGAGCTGAGCAGCCCTGGGTTCCAGCCCCAGCACCATTTTTTTAAGCTGTACCCTCTGTGCCAGGGTCTGGTGGGAACAGGACTCATCTGTGCCCTTGAGTACAGACCTCAGTACTCACACCGGCCAAGCTTCTGCCAGAAAGGAGCAAGAGCTGGGCTGGGAGGAGAAAGTCTAGGATCTGACCCGGGCCTTAGAGAGGTGTGGGGTTTGTATGCATGGACCAGAACTGGCTGTTAGGGGCTAACACCATGACTCAGCAGGTAAAGGCATTTGCCTCTAATCTGAGGACTGACAGTCCCAGCAACCTGCAAGGTGGGAGAAGGTCAGCCCCCTTAAATTGTCTTCTGATCTCTACAGGATGGTGTGCACACGTGCACGCACACCCACATGTGCACATACACACTTTAATCTTTATTTTTATTTAAAGACAACTGGATCCTGCCCTCCAAGTTTCCGGTTGCTTAGATATAAGTTCAACCTGAATTTCTGATTGGTTCATTTGGGCTCACACTTCAGAAGGTCCAGTCCTTTGCATCTGAGAGGCATGGCCCACACTTTCATGGACTGGAAGCAGCGGAAGGGGAACATGGGTGCTGTGGGATAATGTTCTTGTACACTATAAAGATTTGTCACTCTTTTAGTTTAATAAAACACTGATTGGCTAGTAGCCAGGCAGGAAGTATAGGTAGGGCAACTAAACTAGGAGAATTCTCGGAGGAGGAAAGGCAGAGTTGGTCACCAGTCAGACACAAAGGAAGCAAGATGAGAATGCCTCACTGAAAAAAGGAACCAAGCCACATGGCTAAACATAAACAAGAAATATGGGTAAATTTAAGTGATAAGAGCTAGTTAATAATAAGCCTGAGCAGTAGGTCAAGCAGTTTATAATTAATATAAGCCTCTGTGTGTTTATTTGGGACTTAATGGCTGCAGGACTGGATGTGACAGAAACTTCTATGTATACATGGGTACTCAGCTCTGGCTTTATTTTCCCTTTTTGTTCAGCTTGTGACCCTAGGCTAACCCACAGAATGGTGCTACCCATAGTCAATCAGTTTTTCCCTCACAATCAAGTATCACTCCAAAAGATACAGTTCACTGATGCCCTGGGCCTAGATGCTTTTTAATCAAGCTTAACAGACAATCAAAATTAACCTCCAAAACTGAGTGTGACTGCACACACCTTTAATCCCAGCACTCGGCAGAGGAAGGAGGACCTCTGAGTTTGAAGTCAGTCTGGTCTACAGAGTGAGTTCCAGGAGGGCCAGGGCCACACTGAGAGACCCTGTTTGGTGTGTGTGGAGTGGGGAAATTCACCACCACAGCCAGGGTTCTCAGACTGTAACCATGAAAATAATTGGGAGGATGCCCACCGAGGTGTTAATGTGTGCCATTTGACAGAGGCGGTAGGGACGATGAAGAGGTGCTGTGTCCAGAATACTGAAAGACAGAGACAACAACCGTCCACTTACCTATTGCCATGTCACATCGCCCGTCCCAGTGACCCACAACACTAAGAATCATTTACTATGCTTGCAGATCTGCAGTACCCGTGGGGTCAGTTCTACTCTGCTCCAAAGACAGATAGCTCACAGCTTGGGCTGAGGGCCTCTGTCACTCACATGGGGTAGTTAATGCAGCTGTCAGAGGAACCTCAGCTCTGTGTGGCGTCTCCATGTGCAGCTGCTCAGCTTTCACAGTGTGGTGGCTCGGTTCCCATGGGTTCCCAGGACAAACATTCCCCAAAGACAGGAATAAGACGCTGCCAGAGCCTTCAGGTTCACGTCAGGCAACTCTGCAGAAGGCCCATACAGGGACAATGCTACTGATCTGTATTTGATGGACCAAGGGAGTTGCTGCTCTCTCCAGGGGTGGGTGTCTGATGGAGTCTTGGCTCCATCAGAGCCCTGGCCCTTCCCTGGCACAGGGTGGCTTCCAGGCCTGAGAGAACCTTCTACAGTTCCTGGAGGACTGGAGGCAGGGCTTGTGTGTGTGTGGGAACAGGAGGCATTTAAAACAAGTCCCTGGGCCTGCCTGCTGGGAATCTGGCTCTTTGCCAAGGTCAGCTTGTCTTTAGGGATCAGCTAAGTGGGGTTGACAAGCTGGGGCTCTTGAATCTTATCACTGTTCTGAGATTTTCTTTCTTTTTTACTTTATTTGTATTTACACTTTGGTCAGTCAGCGTCGTGCTATGGGGCTCTTTGGTTTTGCTTCTGTTTAGAAAGCTTGAGCCACTTGGTATTCCAGTCTCTCCATGACAGCGGCTCCCAACCTGTGTGGGTCACAACCCCTTCGGGGTCACATATCAGATATGCTGTATGTCAGATATTTACATTAAGACTCATGACAGCAGCAAAATTACAATGATAAAGTAGCAATTATATAATTCTCTGGCTGGGGGTCACCACGGCATGAGGATCGCAGCATTAGGAGGGTGAGAACCACTGCTCTGTGGTAACCACACCCTCTCTTTCCTTGTCCTTTGTCAACTTGCCTTTGTCGCAGTTTGTAAATAAGGACCTTGGGGACAGGGCAGTGTGTCCTAGAATCAAGGGTCTGTATGATGGTGCACAAGCCAGCAGGAGAAGGCAGGTAAAACCTGACCAGGACCAAAATACAATATTGTGTGTCCCTGTGTGTCTGGATGGGTGACTGAGCCATCATCTAAAAGAGGGTCCTGTACCTTGATGAGGGTGAGAAAGGATTGTCTGCAGGCCTGTGAGAAGTGAGCAAGGGAGGAGGATGAGGGGTCTCGGGGGTGGCTCAACAGTTAAGAGCACTTGATGTTCTTGCAGAGGACTAAGATTTGATTCCCAGCACCCACATAGCTAACAACCATCTGTAACTCCAGTACCAAAGGATCCAGCGCCCTCTTCTGGCCTCCACAGGCACTGTATGCTGTGGTGCATAGGCAAACACACAGGTAAAGCACTCCTACACATAAGATATAAAGAAATCAAAAAAAAAAATAAAGAAATCTTTTTGTAAAGACGCATCAAGCATATTTTAAAAGATGTTTAACTGCCGGGGCTGGAGAGATGGCTCAGTGGTTAAGAACACTGGTTGTTCTTCCAAAGGTCCTGAATTCAATTCCTAGCACCCATATGGTGGTTCACAACCATCTGTTTGAGATCTGATGCCCTCTTCTGGTCTGTAGGCATACATGCAGGCAGAACACTGTATACATAACAAACAAATAAATAAGTAAATCTTTTTAAAAATGTTTAACTGCGGGCTGGAGAGATGGCTCAGCGGTTAAGAGCACTGGCTGCTCTTCCAGAGGTCCTGAGTTCAATTCCCAGCAACCACATGGTGGCTCACAACCATCTGTAATGAGATCTGGTGCCCTCTTCTGACGTGCAGGCATGCATGGAAGGAATGCTGTATACATAATAAATAAATCTTTAAAAAAAAAAAGAAGAAAACATTTAAAAAATGTTTAGCTGCTTTTTAATTAAAAAATTGCTTTATACTGGGGGGGGGCACATGCCTTTAATCCCAGCACTTGGGAGGCAGAGGCAGGTAGATCTCTATGAGTTTGAGGCCAGCCTGGTCTACAGAGGGAGTTCTAGGACAGCCAGAACTTCTGTCTCAGAAAAAGAAATCCTGTCTCAAAAAAACAATCAAACAAACAAACAAAAACATCACATTACATTTATTTAAATCTATATTTAATACATATAGCATGTGATAAATACATGTAATAT